TGAAGAGGAATTAGTGGCCAAAGCTAAGAGCTGCATGCGGAGGCTTAGGTTTTGCATTTATAAGAGATAGTATATATATTATTTACTTATTTATTTTAAAACCTTGTGTTCATTTATAAATTTTGAGTCTAACCCAAGAACTGGATTTTTCGATGTAAAAACCATGTGAATCTTCTAACGTGTAATTCCAAACAAAATTTCACAACACAAGAAGCATTGATAGTACTTAAATATAAAAGCTAAACTTAAAACACTTACTCTAAGTAACTTTATGAAGATATATGATTTAAACACTAAATAGTGAATACTAAAAAAGAAATTAAAGAAGGATTTATCAATTGTTATGCAAAATGCTTGTCTTCCATATAAATAGATACATTGTCATTTTATTTATTTTTATCTGTGATTTTTTTGTTTATTTTAATTCATGGCCTATTTGTTTTTTGAGAACTGTTGTGTTTTATCATTTATTTTTAAAATTACATTAAATTTTTATTTTAATAAATTGATAAATTAATTCATTTTAATCATAGAAATTTAAAATCAAGCAACAATCTAATGAAGACTCTAAGAACAAAGATTGTTTTACAAAGGTTTTTTTTGTTTTCCAAGATATAGACATAAAATAAGTCATTGCATAATATGAAGGCCTTTTAAAGCATAAGTACGAGTAATTTTATTTGTAACTTTTATATGGTCCTAATGTTGATAGGTGTAAAAATGTAGATTTGGATTAATTATACATAGAATTTAATGTATATTGCTTCCAAAAAAATTTCCAAACTAAATAATTTAAATATGGTTGATCATGTTTGTTTGATTTCATTTGCAATTTTTTATTGGTAATATATATATACATATATATATATATATATATATATATATATATAATTTGATGTTTGATAATTTTAAAAAACTTAAGTACTTTTGGACTTTTAGAATATTTTATTAATCAACATAAAAATAAGAAGCTATAAAATAATTTATATGAATTAGATGTGCAATAAAAAATATATATTTCTAGGTTTTTTATAATATCTTCTCTTTCTTAATACTGCTTCATATCCACCAACTTAATTAAAGAGTTGTAAGTCAAGTTTAAAAAAGAACTCCACAACATGATAACCACTGCTATTTAATAATTTTTTTTAGCTACGAAATGTATTAAGTTAAATAGGTACAATTGTAAATGTGTGTGTGTGTGTATATATATATATATATACAAAGATTTTTTTAAAAAAATAGACACAAAGAAATATAGTCATGAAAAATTTATATTTAAATTATTTATGTAGTTACAAAGTGCTTTTTTATAGCCGGTTGGTATTAGAAATAATTATTTATAGACAATTATTTTGAATAAATTAGAATCCATCTAATTTTTTTTTCTATTGAATTTTTTTATTTATAAAATATTAATAAATACAGGTATAAAATATATTATTATTTATGATGAAATAGTAGTTGAATTAAGAAATATTTTTTAAAAATGTTAAATTTAATATTTCTTCTTAATAACAGGATGTACATGGTTACTTCTAATTTTTATAAAGTTTAAATTCTTTATATCTTTAGAAAAATATCTCGAAACAACTTTCAAATATACTATAAAAAAAAGATTGTATAGATTTAAATCCAATAAAAATTCAAGTCACGTTTAAAAGTATATCTAATTTTTTTTTATGTAGAACTTAGCAGCATGAGATATGTTGGACTTAATGAAAACTCTTCATAAAAATATTATAGTAATCTTTAAAATATAGTACATCTTCTATTAGTAGCTAATTATAAATATCAAAATATCAAAGTACAGTTGAAAAAGGTTGTAGAAAGTATGATATGTAACTTTCTTTGTTAAAACTTGCTTTACTAAATTATCTCACCATAGATTAAAATCCTGACAAAAATCTCATATATGGTTTAAATATTTAATTTTATTACTTATATATTCTACTATGATATTTGAAATAAAAAAGAATCAAAAAAAGTTCTTAATTCTAAAAAAAAATTATAAATAATAATTTTATTGAAAAAAATCTTTAATGCCAAATAATATGCTATTAGACTAAATTATTATAATACTTTAATTAACACTAAAAAAAGACAAAATATATACATGCATATATATATATATATATATATATATATGTTTTAAATCTACTGGTCTGATTATCAAGTTATAATATATCAATATGTCCAAAATTTCATATTATTGGATATAATAATTATGATATTTTTATTAAATTTTTATATAATAATTAATATTAATCATTATAAATTTTTAATTTATAAATGATTATATATTATAGATCTATAATATAGATCTTATTCATTGTCTATAATAAAATATTAATTTTCAATAAGTTTTAAAAATATAATATAAAAATAGTAATACTATTATTTTATAATTATTTATTATAAGATAAAATAAAATTTATTATTTGTTATATACTACAATTATTGAAGATTTATTTTTTTTATTACATCAATAAAATAAATTATATTTTTATATTTTTAGGTTTTTTTAAAAAAAGATATTTTTATATTGGACCTAAAATAAATGTTACAAATAAAAACATACCAAAGAAATGGTACTATAACACCAACTATAAATATTACAAATTTGATTATAAAAAGAGAATTGAATATTTTAATTAAAATAGAAAATGAATTTTGTTTAACTTTTAAATTTTAAACATAAACTATTTAAAATAATAAAAATTATGCTTTAATATAATAGTTATTGAGAATTCTCATTATATATATATATATATATAGATGTAAATTTAATAAAAAATTAGCAAAAAAAAATAATTTTATAAATTTTTTTAGGATTTGTAATATTTCTAGATATTTGTTTAGGCATTTAAATTGTAAAATCTTACAAGTATTTATGTCAAATTTATTTCTAATAATAATTTTTAAATCTGATTTTATAATTTTAAATTATAACATTTATTCATTAGATATAAAAAGATCAATTATAATAATTTCAATTATACCTATGATTAAAGTATTAAAAGAGCATATGTTTTGAAAAACACTTTATTAAAAAAAAATTACAATCTTAAAACTTGAAGTACATTAAAATATAAGGTAGTATTAAATGAATAAATATGCAAAAAATTATGGATTATAAAATCTTTTAAGTTTACATTTAGCTATGAAAGTTGAAATTAAAATATAATTTTAAAATTTTAATTCTCTTTAAATAATTAGAAAAAAAACAAAATAAAATAAAATTATATATATATATATATATATATATATATATATATCAATTAGATAGATTATATTATTTTGGAAGAATTACGAATAACTTTTAAATGATAATTGAATCTATAAGTATTATTGGATTTAATATATGATTATAATTATTTTGTTAAAGACTTATATGGACCTAAAAAGCTACAATTTAAGCATCTTGTGACTTGGAATATTGTTGTGTATGCCTTGTGATCTTGATATAGTCTCATCTTTGCCTACTTCTTAGCTTGTAGGCATAAAGGTATAACTAAGGCTATCCTTAGTCTTGTTGTAGCTTTTCTTATATTCCGCTCTTAGCTTGTCTTAGTTGAAGGCTCCTTATTTTTTTTCAAAATAAAAATATTTGAAAAATAAACCTCTATTTTAAAATTTTATATTTTACTTTTAATTTACTTTATATTATTTTTTATTATCAAAATTATCATTTTTTAAAAAATATTTGTTTATGGACAATACAAATTTTAATATCAAAGTGTATTTAAAAAAGTAAATAAAATCAACAGGTATATATATATATATATATATATATATATATATATTAGAAAATTATACTCAAAGTTCTACATATAATTATTCATATTTTAGCTAAGTTTTATATGAGTGTTTATGTAGTATAAAATGTAATAAGAAACAGAAAATACAAATAGGTTTAAAAAAGAAAAGTAATTCTATGCAAGTTAATCTTAATCTACACATTCTTGTAAGAACTGAGACAAATAATAAGTATATATATATATATATATAAAAACATAAACTATCTTGTGTAATGTAATGATATTTACTGCTTGTTGTAAAGGGATTAGAAGATGACCATTGTCCACCTCATCTTAATTTCATCAGGAATCACTTCCCAGCATTACTGAGACCACGTACTTAATGCCTTGAGGCAACTTAAACCTTAGTACATCAAATAAACTTCATTATATTTTCTGTATCAATGAGATCAAACACGACAAATAAATGCAGACAGAGCCTCTCCCATACGACCCTTCTTGTTTATAACAGCTATCGGTGAACCTTCATCAGTTTGTACATTAAAGCTGCTTTCTTTTTCTCCCTCTCTGCTTCTGTCGCGACTTTTTGACTTTCTGTTCTTTCTTCTTCTTCTTCTTTTATTCCTCCTTTCTTCTATGTTTATCTAAACTTAAGTACATGATTGTATGTAGATATATTTAAATGTGGAATGAACTTGAAAGGGCCAATTGCTATCTGTTGACTAAATGCAGACAGTGGGTTCATGCAAACTGGGGTTTGCTGTCTAAAACTTTGTAGCTGGACCCGGGGGGGGAGGGGGAGGGCACCGCATGCAACATCTAGTAAAACCAATGTATATATATATATATACAGATAAGTAAGTAAGAGTACTGTCATGCAAACTGGGGAATGCTGTCTAAGACTTTGTAGCTGGATCCAAGCGGGGGACACCGCATGCAACCTTCAGTAAAATCTAAATATTTATATATATATATATATATATATATCTAAGAAAGAAAGAGTACGGAGGAGCAGGGGGGGGGGGGGATATAGAAATGATACCATGTACGAGGACCGGCAGCATCCCTGCCAACTTCTGGAGGTCCAAGATCACGTTGTCACAGGGCGCGCACAATCTCTGGGCGGATGGATCGCAAAAGTGGAGGATCGACATATCCAAGGCCGAGAATGGCAGAAGGGAACGACAAGCCTACCTACCTTCTCCGAGTTGTGCGTACATTCAGTGATAGTAAGGAGCCGGCTTTGATCACAGCATATCCTGAATTTTGGGATCCACACGAGTAATTATTCCCTCTCTCATGCATCACAACTTGGACTTGCCCAGCTTTTACCTCTCTCCATGTTCCACCGTCGGAGATCCTCGGTGCTGCTACCCCCGTTCGGCCAAACCCAACCCAACCCTAGGTGTCTGCCGGACCTCCGCTTCCCCTCCTGCTTCACCCCCTGCACCGCTTAAATTTGCACCTCGTAGTATTTATCTATGCCCCATTTCAGATGACTTGCATGACACCCATCTGGATTCGTCTCCAGGCGCCTTGTCGTATCTATTCGCTATCAGTCTTTCTTTCAGTCTGTCTTTCTGCCAAGCACACCGTGCTGGTGGTGGTGCTATCAGTCGAAGCAGTCGCCGAAGGGTCCTTGTATCCAGCCCTCACCGGAGACAGTTCGCTTCGGGGTGGGGAGAACTGTTGAGACCGTCGATGTTGCATGCAGCAGCACTGGCGAAGGTGCTTCTGATACTGGGTATTCCAGCCTCGCCGCTCGGTGCACTGCAGGTACGTGGTTACATGACACTACTGTGTGGGTAGTCTGGGCACAAGTAGATCGACATGCCAGATTTGGCCCGTATGCGTGTATGTGCGGTTATGTTCCCGTTTCGATTGCGGATACCTTGATTGTGGAGCTCCGTTTCGGTCCAATAGTGGCTGCGACGGAAGGTGGTCCCGCTGCCGAATCACACGTCCGGGTTGCTTATCGGGGCAGGGCCCCGATACGGTATCCGAACGTTTGTCCCGGGAACTGGTCGACCTTCCGCCCGGCGTCTCTTGGACTGAAGGGAGCTCCACTCTTGGCGTCTCTGGCATCGCACTGTCAGTTGTGGTCTTAAGTTGACTCCACCAGTTGGGTTAGGGTTCTTGCAAATATAACCATCCCCGTCATCCTTGTGTTCCTGCTTCTTAATGTCGATGCTGTTGACCAAGCCTTTGTATTAACATGTTTCAAGTTCCGGATGTCGATGCCCAAGCGTCGGACTGACAGTACTAGGATTTCTAAGGTATGTTCATGTAGTTTCCATGATTCTTGATGTTGGAGCAGTTGCAGTATTGCTTGGAGGGACTCTTCAGGAGTTCTGAAATGCGAATTGGTGGTGGAGTTGGTCACTTCGAAATGTTCACCGTCGGAAGCTGGTTCAGAAGCTTTAGAGCTTTGTGAAACATTGCTGGCGGCATGTGATCGTGGATCGCCTTCCATCATCCACCTGTTCGAGTGAGAGTGTAGATCTTCAGAACTTTTCCCATGTATTATGGAAATATTTGTAACACAAGGTCCTTCAGACTCAGGTTCATCTCGCTCGGGTTTTCTAGAAAGATGATTTATCAATCGTCTGTGGCTCAACTTGGAATTGTTTGGGACTCGGTGTCACAGTTATCAGAGGTGTCTTAAGGCAGTGAATAATGCCAAACCTTGAAGTTCGGAAAAAAAGTAGACACAACTGTGTTGTAAGAATAGTGCCATTTAACCCTTTCATGGATAGGAAATAAAAGTCACGAACTGTGAGGATTGTGGACCTCCTCGATTGGCATGTGCTGTGCTTCCGCATTAGTAACTAAATATTTAAAAGTATGAACATGAAGATGAGCACTCGGAACTGTGCGTTTGCAGTCTGCATATGGACTTGGACTTTTATGTATCAGTGATGCGAATCTCCTTTCAATCATACACTGTTGTTGAGATTTGTATGTTCTGAAGTATGTTTTCACCAGAATGCTGTAGCGAGCATTTCTCACATCAACGAGCTATTTTCTTCACACTGGATACATAAAGAATTTTCTTCCGCAGCTTTCTAGATTACTAAAAGTGAACGTTCCTTTCACCGTAATGCTTCATCAGTTCTACGTCAGGTCATACTTACAGATCACTATTCAACCTGCAGCGCAAATTTAACAAGACTTTGCGCGAATTCCAAGGTTCACTGCTTCACGTACCAGATGACTTCATTCATAGATTTTGCAGTACACTTCAGACCTCCAGATGTTCATGACCTCCTGAATCAACCACCACATGATCTTCTGGAAACGTCGAAGCCATCGTGTGTGAGCTGGAGATTCGTGCTCAGTTTTGACAAATTCTGAAGTGTGTTCTGAATTGTGCGATACAATCGCGTGCAATATCAGTACACGCTTTCACAAACCTAATAGTTGGCCTTATTAATTGTGACGTACGTCCCCTTCGAATAAATTTTAGGAGAAATTCCGAATGTGGCGATTCGACCAACAAAGTACATCTGCATCAACATGACAGAAATCAGAGCTTCACAAACCTTGATCTCCTATTAATCATATTCACACTGTTCTGGAACATTAACTACATACAGCTGTTGCCGTCCCACTTTTGTCCAGATTTCTCTAGAACTCTTCCCAGTTTCTCACTCTAGGTTCCGATTAAGGGGTGATTTATTCTTTCTTCTTCCTTCTCATTGTTGGTAATTTTTGGACGAGTTCAAAACACTTTCACAAACTTCAAAACCTTACATTGTCCTCTACCCAAGCTCACGTTGATTATGTACAACTATTGGATTTTGAAGATCTGATAATAGAGATCATAATTAACATGTTAGCATTGCCAATTGAATGTCATGTTATTATATATATATATATATATATAAATATATATATCTATATCACTCTTGTTTAGGACGTGTATTGAATGTTACTTAGGTTTTTGGCTTCTAATAGTTGGTAAAGTTACATGAGGTAAGCCAAAATAAATAAAAACAGTAATAATAATATACCATAAAAAATCAAGTGTGTTGGAGATGGGATCCTTAGATCTAAAGCTAAGAGTGGAACAATTTATGTAAATGCACTTGGAGCAGGATTCTTCTGAGTTTTTGGATGGTCATGACTACTTCAAAAATGACAATTTTTTATTTATAAATTCTACCTCTACAATAATTTTTAACCACCTCATGATAGAATGTTTTTAAGAAAATCTTTTAATAAATAAATGTTTTCTAAAAAATTAGAACTGATAAATAGTAAAGTGGGATGAATTTAATTTGTTAAATTAAATGCTTTTTGATACATATTAAAGAAATAATTCAGTATTTATGTTTACACAAAAAGTGAGATATACAATGGTTGTATTAAAATATATGGTCCTTAGAAATAAAGTAAATAAAAATTAAAATTAAAAGCATAAAATTTTATTAATAGTATTTTTTGTTGAACTTATTCATAACAAATTCTTTGATAAAGAATGGTTTTAAAAGAGAAAGAAGAAAAAAAAATGAAAAAAATGAAAAAAATCTTATCTACTTAAAAAGTTACTATACAAGCTTACAAATACAATTGATTTAGAAATTCATGAATTTATTTTTAATGGTTCTTATTAGTTTTTTGGAATTACAGTCTCTAAACCTTATATGTTTTTTGCTATGTCTTTTCTACATATGTATGAAAAGATCTAAAGTGTATTTATTTAAATAATTTATTTTTCTGTCTTATACTTTTGATTTAATAAAGATTTATTTAAAATGAAATTCACAACATATTAGAATACCAAAAGAATAATTATAAAAAATATTCTTAAAAATATTCATAATAAATTAACTTTATTTTAAAAGATTGTGTAAAAATAATTTCTTAATAATTTTTTGAGAAAAGATGTAGAAGTAATGCAAAATCTATCTTTAAATTCATGAATATATAAATTTGATTTTGTATACATTATTCTTTGCAATTCAAATTATATTTTAGAATTTATGTTTTATGTTTTATATTTTATTTTGTAATACTTTGACATAATTAGTTTTTCCTATTATTCATCAATTTTTTTTCAAAGAGCTTTTAATTGCATAAAATTTTATTATAATAAAAATTTAAAATTGTAAAATTTAACAACTATATAAATTTCCAACATAATTTGGATTAAAAATTACAAAAAATATCATATATATCCCTTAGATTTGAAATAATAGCAAATATATCCTCGTTGGTGATAAGGTATTACCAACATTCCTTGTTTAGTTGTTATTTGGGACATAGACTATGGATTGCATAGATTTTGCTACATCTTTTTCAACTCAAAATACAAAGGAGGCTTGCTTTTGGAGCATTTTGTCAACCTTCCAAGCTCGCCTAGGTAGTAGAAGAAGTTTGTCCCTTTTAGAAGCTAGTTTGAGTGTATTTAGTTCTACAGACTTGCTTCCTCGCAATATCATGGCTCTAGTACTCTATGCAAAAGAAATGGCCCAAATTCACCATGCAATTATTGGTGAATCTTGCTTGTGTTGTGTTTATGAATCAACAATTTTCACAATATTTTGAAGGAGCTTTGGGTGCAACATGGTCAATTGATTAGTCCAATGTGTAGGAGCATGTTGAGGAGTTTATTTTGTTAAGTGAAGAAGATTGGAGTGAAGGCAAGGAGAACAAAGAGGGTTTGGAATGGTGGAATGCAATTGAGAATAATTATGTGGTAAGTGTAGTGAAGAGCCAGGCCAACACCTCACAATCCAGCAACAACAAACAAATAAACAAACCAGAAAAAAACACTTGCATGGCTTCATAAACTGATTGCAACAATTGCGATCCTACACACAACACTGTGGGTCCCCAACACGGGCTGCATTTGCATCACACCCTGAAATGCTCCAAACCATGCTCCCCACTCCCTAATTGCAAACTCTCTCACATCCATGTGCACTTCATGTTCCTGCTCTGCCTCTTAGCCCACCTCTTGTATACTTCAAAGTACTCGTATCCCCTCTTGTTGTCTCAGAGCCCATTGCAGCAGCTATCTTCGATTGCTGCGATATTACAGCGTAGTCATGGCGGGCCAGAGAAGACTTGTTGAAGATGGCATCCGATGCCACCACTGCGGTCGATCCTGCTTGCAGATACCCTTCTACCACATCTGCGTGTACACCATGCATTCATCCCACGAGCCAGAATGAGCTCACCGCCCATGTCCACCGCATTAATCTCACAGGTGTACATGCCACAAAATCCTGACACTCCTCGGTAACCTTCTAATGACCTAGTTGGTTGCCAGCCTTCGGTGTTTCAACTTCCATGTGATTGCAACGTCCATCCTACCCTGCCCTCTTTCCGCATTTCGAGTGGAAATACACGTGCTCGACAGTTGTTGTGGCTCACCACACAACTCGAGCTTCTGTAACTTCGACGCAGAAATGACTATACTCACCCAAGGATATGCCATTTGCAGGAATGATTGGCATGCTTGGATGCAAACGCTTCAGCAGTTTGACGAACTCCATTCCTCCAACAAGAGACACTGGATATAACTGCAAAAATGAGCACCTACGTGCATCAGCCTCCCAATGGGTCAACACTCCACGACACCCAAACATATACACTCAACCCAAAGTCCACAGCTGGTAACACAGAGAAAGAAGGTGGGATACACGAAAGCGCCAACGTGGCCCAATTCACACTACTTACCTTCAGGCATGAGGCACCCCATCTCCGAGCTTGAAGAATCTGCACTACAAAAATAAGAAAAGAAAAGAAAAGAAAAACACAAACACACACACACAGACAAACACACAAACAGACTTACTCATCAAATGCCCCCGAACATGGCCTGTTACATCTTTTTCTGACCACTGCAAACAGCTATGAGTACGGCATCACTCTGTGCTCGCCCATGGCTCCCTAACCTAACGGTAAGATCGGCATTCTATCCAACCTCGGATGGAGACATCACTCCAGGTACGAACAGAACTTCACTCCTGCAGTGCGCCTCAATGAGATCCTGCACAGTCGAAACGGGGTTAGATGAACGACCCGCCTCACCCGATTGCTCCTAGCCTTCGAACACATGCCTCTGCCTGCAAGTCATCTGCAGCACTTCCTAAATGATCATTAAGCATTTCTGAGCAAATTCATCACACCAAATCTCCGCACCCCAGGTTGAGTTACCAACCTTGTTTGCCACAGGGCTCATCAAAAATGATGCCCCTGCTTCTTTGGCCCTTTCTGCATCCTCCTGTGTCAATACCGTACCAGCCTGCAATCATGGTCGTCGTCCAACAAAGTCAGCGAAACAACCTCGTTGTACTTCCTCACGGATCACATCCAAACGCATGACGAGCCCCAGCGTGACGTAATCCTGCACTCAGTGTCCTTGCTGTGCATTAGATACGAAAACATCACCACCTCCATGGCACATAAACTCGACCAGCGAATATACCCCCAACACCAGTTCCCATCTGTCGGCATACTCCGGGAATAGGTGCTCTCCGCATCAAAGCACTCGCTACTGTACATTCTAACCATATCTCCACCAACGATTCTATGCATCCACACCGCAATTCAGCTGACACCTCAACGCACCCCTATGGTTGCTGATGGATACTCCTCCACAAGCTTGCTGATGACCTGCGCGCAACCACAAACCACACCATAAGATTCGCCGGCATAATCACCAGCTCACGCATCAACCATGAGCCACTTGCTCTGCTGCATACTGATAGTTACTAACCGCGACAAGATGCCTGTTTCTAGTGCCCAAGTAGGACTCACCTGGGCAGCCCCTGGCGTCCTCATTGTCACCTCCAACTGCAAGTACATGTCCCGCCACACCCAGTTTCAGCGTCAGACCACAATTCAACCAAGCAATCTCATAAACTCTCAAATTCTCCCACGCCCACACCCCCCAGAAAATGGCACACCCATTACCCTTAACATCGCATGCTCTATACGTGAATACTGCGTGACATTCTAATATACACATTCCTTCAAGGAACAAAGCGGCGAGCTCAGACGAAGTACCACAGAAACTCCGCCATTCAGTGCCGCACGACCGGCATTCAATGCAACCTCTTCACTGCACGATTCCACCACCCGGATGTCAAACACGCTTGACCAGTAGAACAAAAACCGGTCGAACTCTCGCCCAAACACCATGGTGGATGCCACTCATGCATCGAACACGCCATTGCAAGCGTGTTTTCTCATCAAATTCATGTGCCTATCCCCGGTGCAAAGTTCACATTTTCATTTCGTGGATTCCATACACACAAGAGACGTGAAATTCCAGCAAAGCACACGTTCCACGTTTGGGTTAGGAGATCCCTAAAACCCTAAAACCCTGACTTGTTCAGGTACAAGACAGTCCTCCACGCAGAAGAAACATCAACAACTCACCAAAGCGCCAAGTCATCACTCATTCAACTGCCAAACAGTATTTTTCGAAACAGCTCACCCAAAGCGACAGAAGCGCGATTGAATCCCGCCAACCCAATAGTATTGTGAGGCCAAAACTACAATGAAAAACGGCATGCTTACTTGTCTGAGCGCAGGCAGGCAACGATACCGGAACTCTGGATACGCTCGAAAGTGGCTTTTCTGGCAAAGAAAGCAGCTACATCATCATCACCATCATTGGAATCGGATGTCGAGCTGCCATGGTTGCGGACATCGCCATTGCACAGGCGCTCGCCAACTGCGCTCACAATCCCCAACGATGGGTTGCGAGATTCGACCACACTGTGTCGGCTGAAGTGGCGGTTACGGCAAAGCGGTAGAGCGGTGACAAGAGCGGCATGTTGACGCAGTTTGGAGAAGTGGAAATTGGGGTGCGGATGGGCAAAGCAGCAGGAATGCTTCGCTGCGGAAGAAAGCGACGACGATGCTTGAGTCGAAACACCCAAAGCAGAATTGTAGAAATCCATGGACACTCTCACTCTCTCTCACTCTCTCCCCCTCTTCTGTTCAAGGTCTAGTGAAGAGCCCTCCTCCTTCCATTCCACGCCCTCTCTCCCCCTCTCTTCAGTGCACAGCAGGGAGATAGCCAGACCCAATTGCCACACTCTCTCTCGCTCTCTCTCTCTCTCGCTCGCTCTCTCCCGCGCTCTCTCTCGCCCTCTGTCGTCACCGTATTCCTTGTCACAGCCCTGTTGCTGCAGCAGTAATCGCCAATCCGGCACAAGTAGCAGCAATATGCACACAACACAACAAAATACAACACAGCACAACAACTCCGATTTGGAAAGGAAGAAAATGCTTCTGCTTGTCCTATACCATCATCATCTTCTGGAGGGAGGGAGGGAGGGTGGTAGCAGTTGTAGTATTTGTCTCGCACCTTTCATTTCTTCACCACCGAGTGAAGCTTTTTCTTCATCCTGCACACTTTCTGCGCACTTGGAGAAGGGGAATTCCGTGCCGTGTAACAGAATTACTCTGTGGACACTTCTAGTTTGACAGTAATTCATGTGCAGCTTATGTCATCCAGTGGTAGGGGAATTTTCGACGTCGTATTTTGGGGTTGTGGGTTTGCACCCACACAACTTTTTCTTACTCTTCTTGAAGTCACCAGATTGTTAATTCAAAAACTCATGGAAACAAGTAGAAAAATTGAGTAGGAATGCAAGCTCCATGCTCTTGAGCTTCATTTGCTCCACTATATTTTTTTGGGTTGGCATTCTTCTAAATAAGAATGAAGAAAATGCAACTTTCTTTTGTCAACGTTGTATTTTGTAGTGAATTCAAACGTAAAAATATCAACTGCATTGTATAATTGTCCAAGTTTTATATTATTTTTTCATTTTTAAAATTTTTTACCACCCTATGATCTAAGATTTTTAAATTTATTTAACCAAGTCACCATGGTTCATGTTTTAAAATAATGTTTCTAAACAATGGTGAATGTTTTTTTTACAAAATTCCAGGTATTAAACAAATTAGAATCAAAGCTACAATCTCCTATAATATTTTTAGAATTTGATACTAGATGCCTTTTAGGTCATGTAGAATTAGAAGTATAGAAGCTAATTTCAAGACCAAAGTTCCATACTTGATAATCTCATGTACTCATTCAACTTTTCTTTTTTTTTAAATACATATTATGATAGGCTATGTTCTTTTGAAATGAATTGACTCCTAATCTACGCATTGTCCTAAGTAGATAAGGACCCCACCATATGAGTCATTGCATCCTACTTTACATTAAAATACTTATGTCTATGTTGATGTGACTATCATCTTCATTCTTAGATTTGTTTATTTATTTATATTTTTTTCTTTCTATTTAATTTAATTTATATAGAATATTAATAATCTTATTACTATTCAATAATAAAGGTAAAAATAATCTTACTACTATTCTTTTGAAATGAATAGTATTACTTACAATTTTCTCCCTTTTTGTAAGATTTATTTTATTTATTAATATATATATATATATTAATAATAATATTATTATTATATAGTAAGATTATTTTTACCTTATTTTATCTTAGACAATCTTTACTTTAGTAGAAAACCATTATATATAAATATTTATTAATAAATAACTAAATAAATAAATAAATATATTCACATACATATACATTTTTTGATTGGGACTTATTCTTAACTAAAGAAGATTTTTAAGAATTATCTTCAAGAATTACCTTAATAACTTATAATTTCCAACATATTTAGTTTCACGTATACTTTTACTTTTAGACATATTTTCACTCACAAATGAGTCAATTGTTTTGTTATTTAGTATTTAAAGTAGAAACTTCTTTCTTATATTTTATTATTACAACAAAACCTTCAAGTTCTTTTAGAAACAATTATAAGGACTTGGCATAGCATCTCATTCAATTTAAGTTTTTTAATATCATGATCTATATATTATAGATTTTAATTTTATTTTTTTTAGTTTTTTTCATAGCCATATATTCTTGGTTTTTATGTGAATTTTATAAGAAGATTGTATATGGTGAAAATAAAATTTATCAATATATTTAAACTCTTAAAATAGATAAATATCATAATTATATAAGAATTTATTTTTTTTATTTTTGTATGATTTGTTTCTCATTGATAATAGCATTAATTTGCTTTATTGATATGTTTAATATCTTATGTATAGGATTTTTTTTTTTTTTTTTTTTTTTTTTTTTTTTTGTAAATTTTTTTTGCTGCGAGTCTCACTATCCTTTACAAATTTTTTAGTTACTAAAATATTGAAAAAATAATGCCAAATTAGTATTTAAGATTTATCTAAGACAAAAAAATTGTAGAAGTTATTTTATATTTTATATTAAGGATATACATCTCAATTGTAGAAGTTATTTTATATCTCAATAAAAGTATAAAAAGACAATACACTTGTATATCATTAAGAAGAGAAAAAATAATCAAAGAAGATATAGATATAAGATATAGAAGAACTAGAATGATTATTGCCAAATACAAAGAAATAAAAATAAGAAAACCTTAATTTTTAACTTAAATATAAGAAAGATATTAATAAGACTAAGGATGGTTTTGTTTTTGCTTCTATATATACTAACTACTAAGAAGGTCATATAAAAACTTCCAAAAAACCATAAGTCTTATTGCCTAAGCATTAAGTTGTAGGTTACTTCCAACATGACTTTTTAATAGTTAAAATCTTAAAAGATAAGTTTTATCAACTATGTGGTATATTTGGCAAAATATAAAGATATAATTGATATCTAAAAAACCTCCTCAAAGTTTCTTAAAGAAGATATTACCCACCTAATACATTTTTGTCTACTTCTATTGACTTCAATTTATCTAAGTAACATTGAGATTTATTAGATCTTATAGAATCTTGTCTCCTTTAAGATTGGCTTAATTAAAATCTTTTCGATATATTAAGATGATTAGTATCAATAAGTATTTTATTACTAAATTAAAGTTAGATATTTTGTCTTTTCTTATACAATTACTTTTATATATTTGAATTACGCCTTTTTAAAGAAATTCTTATGTATTTCTAATATTAATTTCTTTTAAATAATTTATAAGGATCTTTTTATAGAAAAGAATTATAAAATTGATTTGTTTTTGAAGCTAGAAATGGATTTAGGGTTCTAGCTTCAAAAAACATCTCATATTAAAACATAGCTAGTACTTATTTCTTGTTTAAATTTTATTAAAGCTATAGACTACTTTAAATAGTAAAAAACTAATAGTTTAGTAGAAATTCTATTATATCTAAATTCTACTATTAACAACTATTTAATCCAATTATTATGGTTTGTTATTACATATTCTTTATTATTTTTGATATTCTGATAAAATATATATAATACATAGAAATATTAAATATTAAAAAAATAACAAAATTACTATCTATATTTTAAAGTGAGATTTTTTTTCAATACTTTTTTTAATAGCTTTACTTATTTAAGTAAAGAAAAAAAATAAGAAACACTTCTTTTTATCAAGTTAGTTATAAAAAGTTTCCTTTTAGAAGTCTTCTATACATTTAAGTAAATAAACATGTCTTGTTTCTTGCCTTGATTTCAGAAATTTAAACATTGTATTTTATTTTAAACCTTGTTATTAGAAATTATTCATTTAAATCTAATTAGGTAATTCTAAAACTTTTAACTTCTTCCTTTATTCTAAGTCTAACCAATTTATATCTATTTTTATAGGTCTAAAAATATTATTATATGTTATTTATTTATTTATTCGGACTTAACTAATATTCCACTATTACTTCAGTTGTTTATTAATAATCATCTTTTTTTTTTTTTTTTTTTTTTTTTTTTTTAAATTTCCATGGACTTCATCGACCAAATATTTTTGAAATTGAAAAAATTCTCAAATTTATTACTAACTTTTTCTTCCATTGTGATATATATATATATATATATATATATATTCTTCTTTGTTTCTATTAAATCATCATCCTTGTCTATGATTCTTTAATAAGATGTCTCATTAGATATTTTCTCTTGTCTTTTGTATTTAGGACTTAAACTACTTTTTAATGTGGATAATTAGCAACAAATTTAAGTCACCTTTTTTTTTTTTTCTTCCAAAGACACTTTAAACTCCTTTTTTTGTATCCTTTTTTTTTCTCATTCACCATTGTCTTCTACTCTTTTTTCTCGCCTAATTTGTTTATTGTATAAAAAACTACTTTTATTGATCTCTTACCAATACCTACATTTGAATCTTTATATTAACAAACTCAAGTACTATTATACCACATGTGACAATTAGATTTCTTCATTTCTAATCTTTAGTAGCCAACTTGCACATTGCACATAAATTATATGTTAGTTTACACATCTTACATTACTTCCTCACAACTAACAACATATTCCATGAATTCTACCCCTAGATGACTTTTATCCTAATGCTCTCTACTTTTCTAAAAAACCCAATATTTCTTAATGACTAGCTTTTGTTATGGTGCACAACATTGACATGCTTAGAGTAATTTATGGATGCTTTAATGTTACATTGTATTATATGAGATTCAAAAGTATATATGTAACTTCTTTGCAACTTATTTAGATAGTCCTTTAACGGCTATTCACTAAGATAGCAACTCTGAAGTGTATATTTTTTTGAAAGAAGAATAGTATAACAGAATTAAAAATTGTTTCAAATCATAAATATATGTCATGTATTAATTTTTTTGATATCTTTGCCTATTACTTTCTGTGTTTTTTTTATAAAAATGATATTAAATTTAATCATGTAAGTTGATTTAAATACATGTATCACTTTAATTTCTTATTGTACTGATCAAGAGAGCTCAAAACATTTTGCTGCTGAAATCCAGATATTTTTGCTACTTTTTATTTATTAAAAATATTATTCTTAACTGTTCTGTATTCTAGACCTGGTAAATATATATATATATATATATATATATATATATGTTATTTTTTCCTGTGCTTCTAAGAATGTGACCATTATGTGATATATGTTTTAAAACCTGAATAAATAGCACAGGTTTTAATAGTATTGAATTTTTTGATATCTCTTATCAACATATATCAGATTAAGCAACATTTGTTGATAACATGACTCAAAATGATAGGGATAACACTGGGATTTGCTTAAATTTTTTTTTAATAGTTAAACAAGTAAAATTACTACAGTTCATTCTTTTAATAATAGGTAAATTCTTAAATACCTTTCAATCAGAGATATTCAAGCATTTGATCAAAATAGAAATAAAAATAGAAACTTGCACTTGGGTCATTTATTCATAAGTTTTGGACCCTAAAAATAATCACAGTACTTGTAATTAAATTGGTAGTGAACGTACATAAACAGGTGCATAATCACTTGCAGCCATCTTTTATT